CCAACTCAAAAAAAAAAAAAAAAAGAGCTTATTACATTACTTGTTCTGCCTATGGTGTTTTAATAGCAATACTAGCAATAGATATTACAATAGTCTGATTTTACAAGATTCTGTAAGGCCTAGGCACATATTATCAGCATTTCTTCATATTTTTGTGGTACTCCATACTTCCAAGGGGCCATATTCTCATTCTTTTCCACCCCTCTACAGATCCCTTCTGTGTGCCAAGTTTTCCCTGACTGCAGACGGAGACCTAACAATGGCCAAGGCCAAGGGGGACAGGCAGAAAGGAGAGGGTGGCCTCAAGTGACTTACAAGCATTAATTAGGTAACATGCTCTTGGGGAGGCATGCTCATAGTTTGACCTCATTTTCTTCAAACCAGATCAAAAGCAAGAGTAGAATGCATTCCTCAAGCATTATCCTGATTATGTTAATATATCGAAAGTGAAACTAGTAAAATTTCCCTTTGAATTAAAATTTCTGCTTTGCCCCCTACTTACATGCCTCAAACAAATGCCATCTAAAAAGAAAATCTGCTGTTCTCTTACATCAAAAGTTGACAGTTTCTTATGCAGATACTATTTTTACTATTTTCTTTAATATTATTATTCTGGTAGTTTATTTGATTACTAAAATATTTTGTAGTCACTGTAATAATAATTTATAGTTATTATTTACTGACTTTCAAATAGCATATGTGAGTAGAACTGTCCCTCCTTGGGTAGAAAACTTGAGCATCAAAATGTCAGAGTCAAGTTCAAACTGGAGAGGACTTTTGCCACTGGCTTTTAACCTCCTAATTAGAAGTGCATCTAAACTGTTTAAGAAAAAGAAATTACAAACTTAATGCTTAAATGCAAAATTTTAGTTTCTTATGCTTTCTTTGCTGTGTGTTCTATTATGAATACTTTTATTTCTCTTAATACTTGTTGTGTTGCATGTAAATTAAGGCAAAACTGACCCCTGCCAAAGTACCAACTAGTGTGAGTGATTTACACTTTTTCTCTTCAGGATAATATATGGACGCTTATTATAACATGAGCAATATGATTTTTCCTATTTTTCAAAATAGGAAAAATCAATCTTCTTAATAACTACCTTTTAGCAATACATAAGAAAACAAAAGTATCTTTAGGTACACAGATTTCTTCTCTTAAAAGTAAAAAATGTTTCATGATTTTTTTTTTTTTTGAGTTAGGGTTTCACTCTGTCTCCCAGGTTGGAGTGTAGTGGCACACTCACGGCCACCCCAGCATCGATCTGCTGGGCTCCAGCGATCCTTCCGCCTCAGTCTTCCAAGGAGTCTGGACTACAGGTCATGAATTTTTAAAACATAAACTTCATGTTTACTTAAAAATATTCCAAAGTGTTCATTACTCTACCAATTCTTTTTAAAAATTTGTACTTCAATGTATGCAAGGGTTTTCATTAAGCTCAGTCTGATTCATTTATTTTTCTGACCTGTTTCCGTATTTGTTATTTCAAAAATATTCTGCTAGTAAACATCTGCTATTTTGCAGACCCATTATAATGTAAACAGATGTGAGCTTTTATTTAGATTATATATCAGGAAACAAGCAGCTGGGCTTTATTATAGAAGCCACTTAGTATTATCTTTGAACAGACAATTCTTTATTCTTTGACTATTGGAAAACACAAGTTTCTAAAATTGAGCTGATGTCAACTATACTAAAAGCTTAATTTTAAACATGTAATCTGAACACCCACTGTGCCATCTGACCAGTACCTCATCAGAGAGATGCAGAACTCATTGACTCTCTCAACCTGACAGTTTAGAAAAGTAGAAATAATGTATCTAGAGCTCACTTGCTATCACAAAACATGAGCAAATATTGCTCCACGTCTTGTAAATTTTTCTACTATTTCTTTACTATGCTCTGCACATGGTCATGGGTTCCCTTGAGCTCTCTATCCTACCCTTCACCAGTAGGCAGATATCATCTTTTTTCCTCTCAAAACAGGCCTACCAAAAACACACTCTTTCTGTTTCACAAATCAACTGGAATAATGGGGAGAGGAGGAGAAAGGGGTGCAGTCAGCAAGATGAAACCATGTCAGGTACTCCAGTTGTCAAAACAGTTGAAAATCAGTGCTATTTTTAGAAGGTTCTTATTTTTGGTAAATAGAAAAGCAGTATCACTTTATTTTTCTGAGCATAAATAACAACCACTAACTCTGCAATTAAATTGTAACTACTGACCATGTAAGTATATGCAAGCTGCAATACCATGTAATCACGGGGTAACTATCTCGTTATTTCTGTCTTTGAAGCTAAAGGCTTGTCATAAGATCTAAGAGCTGCATGTTACATGGTAATTTGTTTTTTGTTTTTAAATACTCAGGAACTTCAATAACAGGTTCTCAATGCATTCACTTATTTATACTGTACAACTATTCTAGCTCCCAATTTGCATAAGAGGAAATATAATTCCCCTATGTTGAACATATAGTGAGATGATACCTGTTCTTCACGGAGAACATCCTATAAAATTGCTCATTAGTAGTACACTGACATATTGAAATAGTTTGAAACATGAGATGGATTCATTTCCAACCACTCTGCTTACTTCAAGGCAAATAAGAAAGCTATGATGCTGCCAGGAGAGGGAAAGGCCAATACTTTCATTCTTATCTCAGGCTACCAGCTGCTCCACACCACTTCCTCCTTCTCATCCTGCTCACTGCTCCCACTACTGTTTGAAGTGTGTCAGGTTTGGAAAACTCTATATGAATGCTCTTGCGAAAAGAAAAACTATCTGAGATGGGCCTCTAAAGGAGAGATGAAATGGCCTTAGAGAAAGTGCAAAGTCCTTTAAGAGAGCTTCTTATTAGCTGCTCCTCTGTTGTGGCAACATTTATTAACTCAAGGCATAAATGGAGTCACGGGAACCTTCAATGCCAGGGAGGTGACAAGAGTGACTCTGTAGAGTAAAACTCCGTTCTGTTTTGCTCAGTACTCTATAGAGATTAGGATAACCAAGAAAGTGAAAAGTCATACACTTAAATCTAGAGGAAAGAGTAAAATGGAAAAGCTAATGAAACTGGGCATGGCTGTTGAATTTTTTAAAAAAATTTTTAAGATCCCCATGCTTTAAAAAATATATTATAAGTATTTCACCCTATCCTGAAATCAACTTCAAAGTATTTTGAATATTGTGGTCTGTGCATAATCAATGAGATTTAAGAGGAAGGAAAATTAATAAAGCCTGAGGATGAATAATTTTACTTGATTCAGTGTTTAGTTGCGTTAGGAATCATTAGGCTTTAATTCACTAGAAATTTGGGATTTCAAAACATGGGCTAAACGAAAATAGGTAAGCTATAAACGATCAGATGGGTCTTAAAGTATACTCATAAGAACATGCTAGGAGAAGAAAAAAATAAGCATAAAGAATAAAGCTGCTTAATAAAAAGAATTTATCAAACACAGATGGAAATATGTAACAAGGAAAAAAATGCAAGGATACCCATAACTGGTCCCTTTGGAAAAATACAAAGTTGGAGCATTTTGGCATTGTTATCTCTTTGAGTTTTCATTGTATCCCATTATATTCCAATTTATATAGCACTGTAGTATTGCAGCTCAAATTAAGTTATTTTTACTTTTAAGCAGAAGGAGAGTTCTGATGTCTATTTCAGGTTTTGAAAAACAGTGTTTTTCCTAAGTATAAATTCAATATTTAAAAAATATTATCCTAACAGCCTTCGTGTGTTAGTAATGCCAAGCTCATGTTTCTAATTAGCCAGAAAGCAGGTAGGCAGTAAAACATATTTGTGTAAAAAGGAGGGATAGTAAACTTAACTTCACACCTCATAAAAAGCTTTGTAGTCATCCCAGTGGTGGCTCTCAGCATCCTGTAAAATGCTTGTAGCACAAACTCTGACGCAGTAGTCCGTAACCTGAAACTGTAGAGTGTTGATGAATTCCTGATACTGTTGGACAGGCACCAGGAATATGGGTCTGTTCAGAGAGAATGATCAAAGAGATAGAGATTTAAGGCCTGTGCAGTAGGAGGTAACAATCTCCAGTACTACAAATGGTTTTGATTATTAGATATCAATCATTCATTTCCTCTTAATGCCGAAGCCTGCATCCACATTCACTTTCTAAAAAGAAAAAAAAAAAAAAAAAGCTGGTCTTTGTTTCACAAGTCCTTTGAAAATGTACATCTGCTGTTCTACAAATATGCACTTCAACTTGAGACAAACTGCATTGTCAATACATCATTCAAAAATAAAAGTATTCTTTGTAAGCCTATTATTAGAGATCAGTGCATTATTTAGGCATTAGGTTATCGTTATTATGGAGAACAACATGCACTTGTCAGAACCAACTTGTATAAAGCTATCAGATGTCCCACAAACACACTCTTTTTACTTAAAAAAATTGTAATTCTGTAGATGTCAATTATCTCATAAACTGTTTTAAAATATTCTACAGAAATAAAATGATTTCTGGCACATTCTGTTTATAAATTCAAGTATGAGTCACAACATCTGACTACTTATGAGAATTAAAGAAATATCATAGCTCTATCCTACATCAAGTCAAATGAATTTTACTTTTATCTTTAGCTATCTATATTACTCTGCTTTATTTCATAACTAAAGGACTGAAAAGGCTGATGAAAGAATCTAGAATAGATTCTTGGGGTCACACTGGACTGCTAAGTTCACATGTTCCCTTTTCAAGGAGCCATGTTATGTATGGAGGGTACCCGGGCAACCAGAAAGACCATGTGATAATTAATACCTGTGGTAATGTTTATCTCTATACAGAAAACATATTGTTTTTTTAGATTCCAAATACATGAAAATTAAGACACCAGATGCTTTCTCTTCAAATATTATGGAAAGTATATTACTAAATGGATGTCTTGAAATATGTTTACATTGGTCGTTAGAATAGATCAAAATGAATTTATTCTCTATGTCAGCTTCTAGCAGCCTGTTGACTTATAAACAAAAGAGAGAAGTGAATATTTCACAAATGTGCATACATGGGACAAAAACAAGTTGATTTTTCCATTTCAGTGTGGTCAGTATGTTGTGCCTTCCAAAATGGAAGGCTACATATAGTCATGTCATAGCAACATGCAGAAATCAGTTGATCTGGATCAGGATGTGGGAAACGCATGGGTCTTCTGAGTATGCCTTTAGAGAAAGCACCTTTCTTACTATCTATAGATGTATCTTGTTCAATATATCCCATACATAACCTTTTTGACATTTTCTAGTTAAGACAAATGAAAATAATTTATCATGTGAGTTAGCATATTCTCTTTCTCAAATCTTATCACTAAAAATTCCACTCCTGTGATATATCCAAAGATTACAAGTTTCATTATGCACGGCCATCAACTTCATTTAAATGGCACTCACTTTTTAGCCGTTTCTTTCATCAAATTATCATATTGCATGAAATGCTGGAAGACGTACACCGCTGTGGAGATGAGCGCGTACAAGTTTTTCTGGGGTGCCTTGGAAGGAACCTCCTTGGCTCGCTCTTGCAGTCTCTCCAGGACAGCTGTTGCCACTTTACAGCAGGCCTCCACCAAGTTTGCTCTAATTTCCTGAAAAGAATCATCTCTGCATGCCAGAGCCAGTGGAAGCATTGTGTCAAGTTTTTCCATGAGGTCAGAACAAAACTAAGGAGAAATAAATGTGGCACTGAGTTATTTGTACTCTGACAGCACCAAGTAATTTATGTATAGTGGAGCCAAATTCCTAAATAATGAATTTGGCACCAAACATAAATATAATGACACAGCTTTGTAATAATCGATTTTTCAGTTGTAGAAAGTTAAATGTTTTATGTCAAACAAGGAAATACCAAAATGATACTTCGCTATATATAACCTTCAACCCTTATGCTTAGCAGACAGACATTATGAAAAACTCATGAGCCAGCTTTACCTGACATTACCTTTATCTGTAGTTAATAAAACTCAGAAAATATGAATCCTTGATATTAATGTTTGCATTATTTTTTAACTTATTCTAATTTTCTTCTGCTAAATTTCCATAAAAGGTTTTTCTTAATTAATCATCATATATAAATGTCAATTTAATTTAAATAATCTAGACGAATCAGAAACAATCACATGTAGCATATTCTTATTGGTATGTGTCAGCAACTATCAGAAGTGATGTGTCTAGCATTTCACTATTCATTATGCATCTACTCATTCTTAATGGCAGACAGAGATGTGGTGGGTGGGAATGTGAAGCCTATCTCTATGTCAGAGCAGTCAACAGAGTTCCCTAGGGAATGTTCTGGAGCTTAGGGTGACAGTAGCAGAATAGAAGGTCCTTTTCAAAACCTATTTTTAAAACATACCATATCATAGATTGCTGAACTTATTGTGGACTCAGTGCTGAGGAACTGTGTTTACCTCCTATTTTCCTCAGTATATTCCGTAACCTTCAAAACACACGTAAAGATGTAAGACTGATGCTAATGAAATGGAAAGTTCTATAAGGTATAAAGAGTTTTTAAATTGCTCAAACCAAGAAAAAACTTTACCTCCTTCAACTTCCTAAGTTTCTTCTAAAGTTATTAAAAAAACATAACCAAAACAGGCAGTTTTCCCAGTTCCTCTTGAAATCACAGAAGTACCTTTTTGGTTGCCTCAGATTCATGGAGCAACAATCTAGCAATAGGGATAAGTCCTTTTGGTAACAGAGAAGAAAACTGGTACTGGTCAAGTACCAAGTATGTGCCAAGAGACACCACCATTTAATCTATGGGTTCATTTTGCAATGCCTTATATTAAAACAAATCCCATCATACCAGTCAGTAGTTTGAAAGGATTTCATTTGATACTTGCCTTTGCAATTTTCTTTGGTTGTTCCTCTTCAGGAAACAGATGACTGTCTTCCCAAACTTGCTGGACATTTACAAGGTTCACAGCATAGCTCACAGTTAAAGACCTTTCATTCTGTTCCTGTTGGAGAATTTTTGTGGAAAAATCTTCAATTGCAGTTGTGACACAATGTGCCACGGGAAGAGATACTTCTTTAAATGCACTTCTCCAGTCAAAATCTAGTAAAGTAGCCTAAAATATAAATTTATATAGAGTCATCTTACTCTTAACTTAGCAACAAATGTTTCTATTGTTATAGATATAAAATCATTACTTTCCTTCAACATGTTGAATAAAGGTATTCTTTGGTATACTGTAAAAGCCATTCCTACAACCTGAAAAATATTACCTAGTGAATGAAGCAATATGCAAAAACATGTGCATTCTTTACACACAGTAATATACTGACATTTGATTTTAATTCATTGGTGAATTTAATCAAAAACTTTTTCAAAATTTAATCTTTTAAATATAGTCCAATAAAGCCATCTTTACGAGAGCAGAAAGCTCCACTTACTACTTATCACATAAAGCAACCTTCAAATTCAATATATTTAATAAAGTCTAAATTAGATTTTTATAGTCTTTTTTATGGTTTATTGTTAACAAGTACTGCAACAAAAGACAGCATTTAATATTTGATCTTTTATTCTTTTTCACTCTTAGACAAGCCAAAAAATAGCAATAAGAAATAAATTTCTCAGGGAAAACACACCATAGCACCTTTCTAGATCTTTACTTGCTTAGGCTTTTATCTAGTCTTTCCACCCACAAAGTGGTAAGCAGTGCTACTTTTGCTCCAGGAATGAAGAATTTAGAGGATCTGTATGATTTGGAGGGGTGGGGGTACAGAGGCAGGCAGACGGGCTTGGGATGGAGACTGATGGTCGCCTTTTTTTTTTTCTTTTTGTCTATGGTTCATATGGCAATATATTTATGAATATATATTTATCCCAAGTAACCCAATGGTCCCTAAAGAATGAAAAGTCATTATGGGGTAGTGGACTGAAACTAAGATTAGAATTAAACTTTCCCTGTTTTAATGTAACCTTGTTTGTAGTAACATGTCATCATCTCTAACTTCAGAAAACCCTGGGCTCTACGAACCTGGCTGAATGACCTATTTTTCTTGATCTCAAGTCTTAGAAAAACAAAAGAACTGAGTTAGATGATTTCTATTGTCCCTTTCAGTCTAACATTACTGAGATTATGAACATAAACCTAGTTTTCAGATAATATATACTCTATTCAGTATTAATTTCATGCTTTTTATATCTACTATACAAAATAATAAAGGTGATACATTTTCTAGAGCTAAAACTATGTGATTCCAAAAAGAACAGCTCTTATTCTCATATGCTCATAATTAAATTATAACTGAACTTTCCTTTATAAAGTGTATTTGGGACTTTAGCATCATAAGGCCTGAAACACATCTGTTTTATCTTACATTTGCATAAAGGTAATCAATAATTGAATCTACTTGGCTCATATTATCTTCTTTCTTATAAGGGAAACTTTAGAAGTGGCATAGTTAGAGTCCTGTGTTATAACTAATTTCTTGGGACACATTTATAATTAAAAGAACAGTGAATCTATGAAAACTGAAACAACAACAACAACATTCTGTTTTTTGTTTTTCGCATCAGGACATGTCTATTCATTAAAGCCATTCATTCATTCAAATAAATATGTCCTGGTGAAAATTACCATTAATTGCCATGGCTGCAGTGAAATGTTTTTAATTTTTTGTGCAATGAAAGTTACCTTTGTTCGTGATAATTTATATGTAATTATAATATGTTGGCCCATTTGAATTCTCTTTTCAAAAACAAGCACACTAATAGCTGCTCTTAAAGAAAACTGAAAACTTTTATTTACTCAAACATCCTTCTAACAGGCAACTTGTTCTCATGAAATATAGTTTTCTTACTTCTACTCTTCCTATCTGATATTTGGCATCATACGTATTCCAGTTAGAATAGAGAACATTCCGTTAGTAACATTCACTAATTGATTCGAAAAAAAAAGAGGGAATCGTGGGGTTTTCTATTCTATACACAAACTGGATATCTGTTGAATCCCTATCTTCCATTACTTAGTGCTAATTTTTTTAGCACTTATTTTGATTTTTGGTTAAAGCATGTGTAACTTTAATTTTACAGGTTATTTATCTTGCTCTCTAGGCTTAAACTGTTAAGACTATATATTATATTGTCTCTTTAAATATTTTCCTAGTATATTAGTCAGGATCCATTCAGAAGATAGCACTCAAGGTATTTCAAAAAGAAGAATATTTATGTAGGGCTTTGGCTACCTGGATAATAGAAGAACTGAAGTCATGCAGGGTAGGCTGAATGTTGGGAATGCGGTTTATGGGGGAGATAAAGGAGTCACAGCCATTCCCAGATATGCTCCCTAAAACAGAGAGGGGGGGGAGAAGTAACCTGGTTTCTCTGCAACTGCTACACTCCATCAATGTCTTCCATCCAGTCTTCTATCAATGCCTTTAACCGGCCAAACCATACCAGAATTCAGAAATAAAGAGTAACTAGAAAATGTAATTTTCTACAATACAGAGCAAAGAAGACTGGATCTTGAGAACAATTACAAGCAAAGTTTGAGTACACAAAAATATGAGGCCTGTTCAAAGCATTCCTTCCTTTCCCCTTTTAATCTCCATACTTCTCACTTTTCAACATTTATCTACAGCCCACATTCTCCAAGTGAAGACCCAGAATCAGGATGAGAACAATGATCTCTTGACTTCCATCTCTTTATTCCTCCCATGGAACAGATTGTGCAAGAGAATAGTAGCCCCATGAAATTGATTTATCATCAAAAACTTGTAAGTCAATATTCAATCAGAAATTATTAAAACTAACAAAATATCCTGGATTGAATGTAAAATCTCTCATCAGCCTTCATCCAAAATAGTGGAACTCCTCTCCTTTGTTTTATCTGGTCTGATCACTGATATTTAATTCATCAATTTACATATTCATAATTTTCTTTTTTTTATATCAATATTCTTTATTCTGATATTGTGAGATATAGTTAAGGGTTAGGTATACAAATATGCTTCATTCAGTCACCCTTGTTGATAAGGGGTATCTCCCTGTCCCCAGACAGATATTTACTACCGTTAATCCCACCTCCCTTCCCCTCCCCCGCCATAGTTTCCCACCACTGTCAGTCCTTTTTTTTTTTTTTGAGTTGGAGTCTCACTCTGTCACCCAGACTGGAGTGCAATGGCCGCTCCCGGCCACAGCAGCCTCAACCTGCTGGGCTCCGGTGATCCTTCCTCCTCAGCCTTTCAAGTAGCCGGAATTACAGGCATGCGCTACCACGCCCGGCTGATTTTTTGATTTATTTTAGAGATGAGGTCTCGCTGCCCAGGCGGGTCTCGAATCCGCGGGCTCAGGCAATCCACTTACCTCAGCCTCCCAAAGGCGTGGGATTACAGGCTGAGCCACCAAGCCTGGCTTAGTCAGTTCTTTTTTTATACTATTATGATGGATGTTCAAGGTCCGCTATATGAGTGAGAACATGTGATACTCAGATCTTTGTTTCTGTGAGAGGTCACTCAGTATTATTGACTCTAGTACCATCCAGGTTGCTGCGAAGTTCATGATTTCGTTCTTTTTTATGGCTGCATAGTATTCCATTGTATATATGTACCACATTTTTTTAATCCAGTCCTCTTTTGATACATATGGTTGATTCCAGGTTCTTGCTATTGTGAACAATGCTGCGATAAACATACATGTGCAGGTATCTTTTTGATAGAGTGATTTGAGTTCTTTAGGGTATATTCCAAGTAGGGGGATTGTGGGGTCAAATGGGAGGTTGATATTTAGAGCTTTATGAATAGCCACACTGTGTTCCACAGAGGTTGCACCAGTTTGCACTCCCACCAACAGTGTAGGAGTGTTTCCTTTTCACCACACCCTCTCCAGCAATTGTTATTTTTTGAGTTATTGATAATTGCCATTCTGACTAGAGTTAGGTGGTATCTCAGTGTGGTTTTGATTTGCATCTCCTTGATGATTAGTGAGGTTGAACATTTCTTCATGTGTCTGTTGGCTGCTTGGATGTCTTCCTTTGAGAAGAGTCTGTTCATATCTTTTGCCCACTTTATAATGGGGTTGTTTTTTTTTTTCTTTTCAGCACGTTTGAGTTCCTTGTAGATCGAAGATGTTAAGCCTCTGTTGGACCTGGAGTTGGCAAATGCTTTTTCCCAGTCTGTGGGTTGTCTCCCTGCTCTCGTGATGGTTTCTTTGGCTTTGCAGAAGCTTGTCAGTTTGAGGACCCACTTGTCTATCTTATCTCTTATGGCCTGTGGATTTCGGGTTTTGTTCAGGAATTAGATGCCAGTTCCAATTTCCATAAGGGTGTGTCCTGCATTTTCTAAGTTTCTTAGGGTTTGAGGTTTTACATTTAGGTCTCTGATGCATTTAGAGTTAATTTTTGTGTATGGGGACAGATAGGGGTCTTGTTTGAGTCTTCTGCATGTCGTCAGTCAGTTTTCCCAGCACTGTTTACTGAATAGGTTCTCCTCTCCCCAGTGGTAGGTGGTGGAGGCTTTGTTGAAGACGAGTTGGTTGAGAAATTGAGGTTTAGCTTCTGGAATCTCAATTCTATTCCATTGGTCTATATGCCTGTTCCTATACCGATACCAAGCTGTTTTGATTATTGTAGTTTTATAGTAAAGTTTAAGTTAATGTGATACTGCCTGATTTTTTTTTTTGCTGAGGATTGTTCTGGCTATTCTTGGTTGTTTGTGTTTACATATGAATTCCTGTATTGTTTTTTCTAGGTCTGAGAAGAATGTTGCTGGTAATTTGATGGGTATTGCATTAAATCTGTAGATTGCCTTAGGTAGGATGGACATCTTCACAATGTTGATTCTTCCAATCCATGAGCATGGGATATTTTTCCACTTGTTTGTGTCATCTTTGATTTCTTTGAGCAGTGTTTTGGACTTTTCATTGTAAAGGTCTTTCATGTCTCTGGTTAGGAAGATGCCAAGAGTTTTTTTTTTTTTTGGTTTTTTTTGTGGCTATTGTGAATGAATTTGTGCTTTTTATTTGGGTTTCTGTTTGTTTATTATTGGTGTAAAGAAATGTTGTCTTCTGTACACTTATTTTATATCCTGAGACCTTGCCAAAGGCCTTTATCAGTGTAAGGAGGTTTTTGACAGATTCTCTTGGGCTTTCAAGGTACACAATCATGTCATCTGCAAAGAGAGATAACTTGACTTCCTCTTTTCCTATTTGGATACCCCTGATTGCCTTCTCTTGTCTGATTACTCTAGCCAGGACTTCCAATACTATATTGAACAGGAGGGGTGAGAGTGAGCATCTTT